TTTCTAGTTCAAAAGTTGGCATTGAGATGTGCTTTTTGGAAGCACCTTCCTTCACATCTGGTCCATCTCTGATCCCCTCTAATCCCATATAAATCACACAGGCTTTGGCTTCAGGGACTGTTGGTTTATGATTGTCCTGTCCAGAGACACTTTCATAGGAACGTAGGATTTTTGTCAGTGCTGGATTACACTATTGGTCCATTGAGTCTAATGTCCTGCCTGTAGCAGTGACTGCTGTCTGATGCTTCAAATCCTCTCCCCATTGGAGGGGGATGTATGAAAAATGAGTTACAATTCTAAAAGCTCAGTGTTGAGGATCTCCCAATAAAGATATGAGTGGATGAGGTAACAGGAAGTGCTGTTGTGGAGAAACTGGCCATTGACTCACTGGCTGTAGGCAGTGTCAAAGAGGTGGGTTTTGAAAGGGGTGGGGAATAGGTGAGATGGGATGGAGTATTCCCATCATCTGGTGTGGCCGGAGCAAGGAGTTCACCTCTGACAGAGAGGAGCTTAAAGGAGCAAGTTGGGTGCAGGAACAGATGAGATCTGTGCTAGATAGCTGGAGGGCTTTGAATGTGAAGGTGTGTGTGTGTGTGTGTGTGTGTAGTGAAGCTGTAGCAGTTGAAAGGACGGGTTTAAAACCCATCTGGATTCTAAATCTGGATTTAAAACTAATCCATTAGAGAAACCTGTACTACCTCCCCCAAGACAACTGTTTTTGGGTGTGGGGGGATGGTTATTCTGGTTTTGAACTAGGATCTGTACTTAAATATGGGTGATGTGGTCACATGCCTTGCTCAGACACTGTTCTCCTTTCCCTGCGTGTGGAGGCTCCGTGAGAGGAGGGGGAGAGATCTTGCTGCCTGCATGCTCCTCTCTGGAGCTCCAAAGTGACATTGAAACCAAGAAGGGAGCGTCTCAGGCAGAACGGAGTACTGAGAGCAAGATCACTAACAAACAGCAGTGACTAATACGAGCACAATCCGTTTAAATATTAATAGCACTGTCTGCTGTTTAGGGTTCAGGCGGTGCATTCTATTTACATGGACCAATCCCAGACCCCCAGCTACCTTTAAAAAAAACAAACAAACAAACAAACAAAAAAACCTTACGCTTACCCCTCCATTTTAAATACATGGCTAAAACGTACCTAACGCAGCACTCAAGTAGAGCACTTTGCCCCCAGAAACGAATGGACGAGCTCTCCATCCCGTCAAATGTCCTACCTTTTCACACGCGTATGGCCGCCTCCTGGAAGTGAGCTCTCGTATCACTGCAATAGAAAGGGTGAAGCTTCCAGAGAGTTCTTTAATGGGAGTCTTACTTTTGTATGTATTTTTCAAAGGATACCTGTACAGTACAGTCTTTCTTAGGGAGAACACTGAGCTTTCTTTAAATTTCTGTATATCAGTGTAACTTGAAATTTAAACTCACACTACACTACAACGTTCTAACTTCTAGGTCCCTACACATGTGATGGGTATTCACTGCATTAGTCGGATTGAGGTGACTTAATCATTTTTTTATACTTCCCTTGCTCAGCAAGAAATAGATTAATTCCTGAGGATTGTCTGTACTGCTCCTGTGATAGGTGCCTGTAGCCATACCACTGCAGGCTAAGCTTTTGTCAGATCTGCCAAACTCAGCAGGATTAGGCCTGGTAAATCCTGGGATGGGAGAACACAAAGGAAAATGCAAGGTGCTTCAGGGAATATCATTGGTGATTCAGTACAGCGTACTCTTCTGAGTTGGTATTCAACAACTTCCCCAGGGGAGGGCTTGCTGTCTCCAAGTGCTGTCTTTAGATGGGATTTGAGACAGAGGCCCCGATAACTTGTGATCATTATTTTTAAAAAACAAACTCCATATTTCCTTTGCATGCAGTTTTCATCTTCACTTCCTGTCCTAGTTGTGATAGTAAGTTGTGCACCAGCTGCCATACATATTCCATCTAGAGGTGGCCACATTTCAGCGATTCTTATATAAGTAGGGCTTGTAAAGTGCTTTGGCTGAGAGGTGCTTTCTTCTCTTCTCTCTTCCCTTCTCCCTGACCACTGCTTGTGTGCAATAGTCGTACTAGTCATACGTGGCTTACTTGGGAGAGAAATATAGCCACTGTTTCTGTTGTGCCAATGGAAAATAAATGCTGACATGTTGACCATCATAAAGTACTTCTTTGAGCTGTGTGACTTTCATGATGCTGGAGTGCAGGCCAGGGAGGGAAATGAAGCTATGGAAATCTCCACTCCTGTAAAACATGGCGAGGTGGAAAATCAATGTCTGTAAAACTCAGATCATTGAGGAAAGAACCTGCTTCCCACCATCTAAATGTTTTAAAAGCAATGAAAAGGTGGGGAGCTGGCTGTCCCATGGAATTGGTAGTGGGATAAAGTCACCCCCAGGCCTCTTAGAATCTGGCCCAGGTTGTGGAGACAATAAATCATTCCTGTCTGATGACCAGGGGTCTCTGTTTAAGCCATGCACCTGTGCAGGCATCCCATGGAGCTGCCAGCGGGGAGGGTAGAGGGTAGCACTCCAGGGCTCTAGCTGGCTCTGCTATTGTTTGGCTCTCCTCACCATAGTAGTTGAGCCCCTCACAGTCTCTAATGTATTAATCCTTGCAACAACTCTGAGGTAGGGAAGTGCTGTCATCCCCATTCTACCGGGGGGGAGCAGAGAGCACAGACTAAGTGACATGTCCTCCTAGGCCATACAGGGAGTGTTTGGTAGAGCCAGAATTGACCCCAGGTCTCTGGACTCAGAGTCCAAGTCCACCACATTAACCATAAGGCTCCTCTTCCCTGGACTGCTGTTGACTAGCAGGAGGGGGATGCTCTAGGGCTTCCCCTTCCCCAGTTGCTTCCCATGCCATGGCAGTGCTCAAGGGCACCTCTTCTCACAGCTGCAGGCAGTGGGGGAAGGGACTCAAATACTCTCCCTCCAATCTGTCTGCATCGCTCAATGAAAGTGAGGAGGAGGGCGTGGGATGGAAAAGGGGTGATAAGGAGAAGTGGGAGGAAGGTGAGTGGATGAAGAGGAGATGGAGTGAGGGAGATGGTCAAATGTGAAGAGAAGAGACTGCTACTGTGGGTCTGAAACATGAGCTCAGGCAGCCTTCTGCACACAGATAGGGACACACGAAACGGACAAATCAGTACAGCGTCTGTGAGAAACTTGCGCCTCCTCAGACTATCAGGATTCTGTGAGGGAACTAACAGAATAGAGGTGCAAGGAGAATCAATAAATTATATTTGAACTTTCAAAAAGCCTTTGACAAAGTCCCTCTCAGGAGGCTGCTAAGGAAACTAAGTAGTCTCGGGTGAAAGATAAAGTCACATCATGGATTTTAGGCTGGTGAGAGAGGAAAGCAAAGCAGAAATAAATGGTCAATTTTCAGCATCAAAGGAGGTTAATAGTGAGGTGCCCCCAGGATCCGTACTAGGAACAGTGTTAATCAATATTCTTATTAAGGATCCAAAAGAGGTGAACAGTGAGTAGCAAAATTTGCTGGTGATACAAATGTTGAAGATAATAAAGACTGGAGAGATTGTGAAGAGCTTCTGAAGGACGTAGCAAAGTTAGGCAATTGGGTAACGCTATGACAGATGAAATTCAGTGAAGACAAATGCTTTGTAATGCACACCAAAAGGAGCAACTTGAACTACTCAGAGAAGCCATCAGTGTATAAATTAACTGGAACCACTCAGTGGAGAGGAAGGGTGGGTGGTGGGAAGGGAATGAATCTGGCCACTGGGCTTGTACCATAAAGCCACTACATAGTCATAAAAAGAATGAGGAGTACTTGTGGCACCTTAGAGACTAACAAATTTATTTGAGCATAAGCTTTCGTGGGCTACAGCCCACTTCATCAGATGCATAGAATGGAACATATAGTAAGGAGATATATATACATACAGAGAACATGAAAAGGTGGGAGTTGCCCTACCAACTCTAAGAGGCTAATTAATTAAGATGAACTATTATCAGCAGGAAAAAAAAAACTTTTGTAGTGATAATCAAGATGGCCCATTTCAGACAATTGTCAAGAAGGTGTGAGGATACTTAACATGGGGAAATAGATTCAATTAGTGTAATGGCCCAGCCATTCCCAGTTTCTATTCAAGCCTAAATTAATGGTATCTAGTTTGCATATTCATTCAAGTTCAGCAGTCATAGGAATTGCCAATCTGAAATAAGGTGATGGTCTCAGTCCTGTTCCTAGTGGTCAGGTGACCATGTCATATTGTAAGGTCTTTGGGACGGGAACTGTATCACTTGTGTATTGTACAGGGCCGAGCACACTGGTGCTTAATAATAAATAGTGCCTAGCTCTCATATGGTGCTTTTCATCCATAACTTAAAGTACTTTGATACTGATCTCCTTTATAATGCTTTTGAAAGCGCCTAATGAAAAGCACAGTAAGAGCTAGGTAGTGGTACTGATACTCCAAAGGAGGTTGGTATCATTATTCCCATTTTATAGATGGGGAACCTGAGGCACAGAGTGGGGTGGTGATTTCCCCAAGGTCACCCAGTAGGCAAGTGGCAGAGCTGGAACTAGAACCCAGGTCTCTGGAGTCCTAGTCCAGTGCTTTCGCCACTATGCCATGCTGCCTTCCCTTTTATTAAAGGATTTTAATAATAAAAAACCACTCAGCAGTTGATACCAATTGGACCTCTTGATAGCAGTCTCAGCAGAGGGCCGGGATTCACCAGGCTGGTTGTTCCTGCTTCCCCCTGGCCTTTTTCCATTTGGGTCAGTCAGCAGTGAGGGGAACGCTGCCCTAGCTATACCTGTTTGCAGAAACATGGAAGACTTAAATCCCTAGAGCTATCAGGCCAGCATGTTTCACCAGCACTAAACTTACCCTGCTGCAAAGTGCAGTCTGCCGAGAGCCATGTCCTTCCCCCTCCGGCATGAGCACGTGGGGGTCCTTGCTTTTGCAGAAGTGTCTCTGGATCCTGGAGTCTTACCCTGGGGGAATGTGTTTACCCCTCAGAATCTCCCAGCGGGTGGAGGCCAGCCGGATGCAGCTGCAGGCAATCGGAGAGAGAGTCTCACTGGCTCAGGCTAAGATTGAGAAGATAAAGGGCAGCAAGAAGGCGATTAAGGTAGTGGGTGCTTTTCACAGCCGCCTTTGTAGGCTGCGCAGCCATCCTCTGGGTCTCTTCCCACTCACTTTCTAGTCTCTGGATGTGAATTCACTAGCAGTACAGGCAATCTGACACACATGGGCTCTCCAGTCAGAGTCCCTCTATCTTGGCAGCTATGGTATGAACTCCCCTCCTGACAGGACCACCCATTCACATGGTAGTTCTCTTCTCTCAGACCCACATATTTCTGGCCTTGAATAGGAAGGAGTCTCTCAAGAAAAGGTCACCCCCTCCACCTCCACTCCCCTGGCTCTCTCAAAATCCCATTTTGCTGAGGAACCCAGGACACGTTCTTGTTAGTAAGAATTGCATCTTCACCATCTTTAACCCCTTACACCTTGTTCATCCAGTTGGGAGCTGCTGTTGTAGCATCTCACATTCAACCCCTGCTAATCTTGGGATCCAAACAGAACTGTGTGGAAAATCCCTGTCCTGTTGCCCGTCTCCCAGCCCCATTGTGTTGATTGTTTCTGGGGTACTGGAATGCTCTGCCGATAGGATTTTTAGTTTCTTCCTCTCCCGGCAGGTGTTTTCCAGTGCCAAGTACCCTGCCCCAGAGCGGCTGCAGGAGTACAGCTCCATTTTCGCGGGTGCAGAGGATCCAGCCACACAGAAACGGCCGAGACACAAGATTCAGAGCAAACACAGACTGCTGGATGAGAAATCCCTGCAGGTAAGGGAGTCGAGGGGGGAGGCCCCCTGGGTGAATGAGTATGCAGTTGGAGGGGGATGAGGGCTGGAGGGGACTGTGTTACTAGGGGCTGAAGGCATATAGGTATATGGGAGAAATTTGGGGATGGGCATAGGCAAAGGGTCTGGTCTGTTTTCCACCTGACTTGACAAGACACGTGGGAGCATGTGTTCCAAAGCTTGTGGAACGTGCGAGGATTGTGCCAGTGGAAGACTTTCCTGGCCCCTCAGTGGTGGTTACTGGCTGGTGTGCTCTGCGTGGGAGGCTGTTAGGTCCCCTCTCCAGTCTCTGGCACTCTTAGCACAGGCCATAGCTACTCACCTTGCCATCTGTGTTTCCATTTTCTTATTTGGTTTGAGCAACTTGATTGTTTCCTGCAGTGGCATTGACAGCAGCTGCCGACTCTCCTGAGGGTGTTTTGTGGTGTGACACAGGGCAGGGGGGAGCCAGGGTGGTTGGGACCTGCATGGGCTGATGGTCTGGGAGGATCGGGGGACCTTTCAGGAACAGTTTGTCAGATCATAGTTCTTTATTACACAGTAATTATGTGAAGGAGAAGAGGGACGTGTTGTATATGTGAGTCTGTGGAGAAGAAAGAGGGGAAGAGATCTCCTCTTCTAAGGAGGCAGCATGGTCTAGTGATTAGGGCACTGGGCTGGGAGTCAAGAGACCTGGGTTTTATTCCCAATTTTGGCACTGACCTGCTGGATGACGTTGGGCAAGTCCCTTCCCCTCCCATGCTTGTCTGTTTAGACTGTAAGCTCCTCTTGCCAGGGACTCTCTCTTGCTGTTAGTACAGCACCTAGCACAATGGGAGTCTCTGTCAGCTGAGGCCTCTGTCATCACTGCCTGCTCCCATAATACAAGTAATGTCTGTAACCAGTGGTGCTATTAAAGGCTAAGCTTAGATGTGTAGCTATTGGCGAATGACCCAAGATCTCCATGGCATTCCCCTCAGTGCTAATGATTCTGTAGTGGTGAGGGGAGGGCAGCCCGGGAGTGGGGCCTGTGGGATAGCCAAGAAGGTGGCTTAGAGGGAGGTGTTGCCTGGCGGTTCTGAAGCTGTCAGAGCTAGAACACCCCCAGGAGAGGAAGAATAACTCTGTGCTGCTCTTCGTGGGGATGGCTAATGCACGATGCTGGAAATTTTATCTGGTGCTGATCCCTGCAGGGTAGGGATTAGCCCAGCAACTCCCTTCCTAGGGTGGCCGCTAACACATTCCCATAATACCAGACTTTCCAGTACTTTCAGGAACCCCCGCCAGCGTGACCCCACCCCTCTCGGAGTGACTTCACCACCTGGGAGGTGCCATTTTGAAGAGCGCACCACCCTTGCCAGCGTGACGCCCCCCCCTCCCCCCCCCCGTGCACACGATGTCATGCTAGTAGGGTGCAGTGGTGCTCTCTTCGTCATGGTGCCTGGACATAACTGCTTTTGTCTCAGTACCGGATGGGGAACAAACCTCAGAAAAGCAGGACTGTCTGGTTTAAAACCAGACGAATGGCCTGTCTGTCTCTTCTTCTCCCCTTGGAAGTACTTTCCTCTTCCTTCTCTTCCTCGTGTGTCTCAGCCCAAAAATAAAGCTGTCCCTGAATAATTCAGTGCTATAAACTTTCCTGAGCTTAAAAGGAGTTGAAGCCTCTTCCAGCAAAGCAGCATGAATATTTCAGCCAGTCCTCAGAACTTCCCAGGGAAGTGGAGCTGCTGGCTGGGCAGGCAGCTGATAGCTCACCCAAGCTGGCTTGTGCTTCCCTTGTTGTGGCTTCAGAGTAGCAGTTGTATGAAACCTGCTGACGGCCCCTGGGCAGAGACTGCTTTGAATCCTGCTGACTAGAGGTCAGAGCCTGCTGAGGAGCTGTATCTCAGTAAGGGACATGCAAGACTTTCTCCCTCCCTCGCTTCCAGAGCCAAAAAGGCAGCTGCCAGTCTGTGTCCCCATGTGCCATCTGTACTTTGTCAGGGAGGGGCAGTGTCTCTCTGGCCTGGGAATGACATCTTAGCCACCTAATCCCAATCATTTATTACCATGTATGCTGTACATCTATGTCAGCTGCCATGGTGGCTCCGTCAGTCTGCCCTCTCTTTCCACCGCCGCCTCACAACCGTCTGCAGTGCCTTCCTTTTCCCTCCTCTGTGCTGCCTCTCTGCACCCGCTTTCCTACATTGCACCTTTCTGATTTCTTCCTTTACTTTCCAGGACCAACCCCCACGGTACGTGTGCACGCACATGTTACACTCCGGTAGTGCCTCACTGGCCCTCTTCCCCTGCACTGGGCTACCTCCAGCTCCCAGCCCTTGCACCCTCCTTTGTGACTCCTGACCCTTCTGCATTGCTGGCTTCTACCCACTCACCCACCTCAGGGCCTGACTTTGCCAGCTAGTCCCATCCCTGGCCTCATCTAACTGCCTCCTGGTGAAGCTCCCTGGAGGGCTGGATGGGGGGTGGGCAGAGAGGCCCAGTGCTGTGTTACCAGGTGGCAGTTGGTTTATTAATGACAGGAGGGGTCTGGGCGAAGTGGCAGCTGGCACGTTGTGTAAGGCTCAGTATAGTCAGAGTGCTGAGCTCGTTCCAGGGATCCGGCTTGTATGTGGCTGTTTGCCACATACAAACAGAGAGAGACTGAGGCTCTCGCAATAATGAGACATGACAAAGGAAAGTCTTGTATTGGTATTTATACCCTCCTCAGTTATTCAGGCTTTCAGTGGCAGCCTCCTTGCCCATTGTCACATCCGACGAGGCCCATTGCTGTGCGTTACATGCTAAGAGTAGCTGGCGGGGCCTTCCCTGACTGGGCTGAGGAACCGGAGGGCTTCATATCTGCTGTATTGTAGGAAAGCCCCGGGTGGCTTTTGCTGCCGTCACCATCGCCAAACTTATTTATTATTTGTGGTACTGTGACCCCCCAGGAGCTCCAGTCATGGACCAGGGCCCCATTGTGCTAGGTGCTGCACAGACACAGAACACAAAGAAAGGCTGGTCCCTAGGGAGCTGACAATAGACAAAAGATGGATGCTGACCGATGAGGGAGTACAAGGACTCAATGAGGCAGTACTGCTCAGCACGACTTCCAGTGGTTTTTGCTGTGATGCCTACAAAAAATGTGATGGTTAGGCTGTTGGTGTGCAAAGGAGAGTTTTGAGGCAGGATTTGAAGGTGGACAATGAGGTAGCTTTGCGGTTGTTTATTGGGGCCACCTACAACACATGTGGGGCAGCATGGGAGAAGGCATGAAAGTGCTTGTTTGAAGGTTTAACAAGTGGGCAGCAGAAATGTCAGAACTACCGTTGCCCACACCAGCTTAATTTGGCTCCCTAGTGCATATGCATGCTATAGTCGTTAATTACATGAGCACATTCTGTTTTTCAGTGGGACCCTGCCCTGTTCAGTGCACACCATGGGCACATGGGGAGGCCAATCAAGGTTGCACAGACAACCATGAGTATGGCATTTCCTGAATTTCAAGTGCTTGAATTTGTAACCGTAATAATATTCTTTTAATGTATGTTTTTGTATGTAATTTATTTAGACTCTCTAAAGCCCCTAACAGGAGACGGTATTAATAGGGTGACCAGATAGCAACTGTGAAAAAACAGGTCAGGGGGTGGAGGGTAATAGGTGCCTATATAAGCAAAAGTCCCAAAAAACGGGACTGTCCTTTCACTAGGCGGGTGGTGAAGCACTGGAATGGGTTACCTAGGGACATGGTGGAATCTCCTTCCTTAGAGGTTTTTAAGGTCCGGCTTGACAAAGCCCTGGCTGGGGTGATTTAGTTGGGGATTGGTCCTGCTTTGAGCAGGGGGTTGTGGACTAGATGACCTCCTAATCTTCTATGATTCTATGATGAAAATGGGACATTTGGTCACCCTAGTATTAATGAAACTTGGTAACTGGAGGGTGAGAGATGAAGTCCTGTCATGGGTTAATATATTTGAACTTTTGGCTATTTAGAAAGAGTAAATTGAAAGACAGCAAATTTAGGGCTCTGATCCTGCCAGGTCCTGAGCTGCCTGTTCTGCTAAGTGTTTAGTGCTCTAGACTCCCACTGATTTCAGTGAGTTGAGTTTGCTGAGCATATTGCAGGATCAGTCCTTTTAAAAGTTACAAGAAAAAAAAATATGATATGGTTTCACCTGCAGAAATCACAGTTGCAGGATGTTACTGAGGTAGATATAAATTTCAGAACAGGATTAGATCTTTGTATAAAAGTGTCATTGCAGTTACTTTAAGTAGCACAAAAATTACAAGGACTATATAAAGCCTCATACTTCAGGGTAATAGTCATGCTTTGTACTTTTTATAAATGCCTTAGAAGGATTAGACTTTTTAATAAGTAAATGTGAGTAATGGTTGATTTCTCACTCCATCCGAAAAGCGACACCGACCCTTCCAGTGCTAATTGAAATTTACAAAGGGAAAGCTTTAAAAAATACATTTCTTGAGGGCTTAGTGTGTGAGCAGTTCTACCGAAGACGTCAGGATTCCATGATGCTTAAAAATTAAACATTAGGAAATGAATATTAATGACCAAATGGAACTTTATTTCTGAATCTCTGTTGAATCTCCACTTGTACAGTCACTAAAGAACAATTTACATCAGGTTTTTTTATTTGCTGCTAATGGCCAATGCTGCATGGTTGTCGTCACTTTAAATATGTGAACAGTGAAAATATGAATCTGGCTAATTTACTTGATTGTACAAATCACTTCTGGTTTGAGGGTTCATCGCTTCATCCCTGTGAGACAAGGACTGTGCCCATTTTACAGGTAGGAGAAACTGACAGGGGATAAGTGAACTGGCCAAGCCAGAGGCAGATGTGGAACACAAGTTCCTTGTTCCAAGTCCTGTGCTGAGTCCAGTAGTCCAGTCTCAGTCCTGTGGCCTCTTAAGCTGGTCAGCAACTGGGCCCAAGAAGCAATAGCCCTTCCCCTCCCCTGTGGTATGGTATGTGATATAGTGGAGGTCAGAGTAGATGATCTTATAGTCCCGTCTGATCTTAAATCCGGAGTCTATGTATAGTACAGTACAGCTAAGTACATTATGGAGGTTGTACATCTTCCCCACAGCATCAGGCACTGGTCTGATCTGAGATGGCAATTCCCATGTTCTTTAAAAGTTAAGCTGTTCAGCTGAAATAACTCCCTTTCTAAAGGGAGTTCTATACATTATGTATGAAGCTGAAGAGCTGAGAGAGAGGAGCTTTTGGTTCACTGGAGTTGAAAAGTCCTGCAAATCTCCTGGGCTTTGTAAAACCATCTGGCTCTCACACTCTTCCCTCCGCTCACCCTCCCTCGTCTGCCCTCTTAGTTGGTGCTGGCATGCTTGCCTTTCTCTCCCCCCACCCGGGGCGGGGGCATCTCAATAGGAGGAGAGCTGAAGGTGGCGGAATTGACAGGTCAGTCCCAGAGGGAAGCGCTGTAGATACTGGTGTAGGAGTGCTGGCTGTGCGGACATGCACAATCACTCCAATCCCAGCCCCGCTCAGCAGGAGGCATTGCACAGGATAGGGTAGGTTAATGGAAGGGCTGTGGGGCTCAGTCCATAAGAGGTGCTTGCCACAAAAATTCAGGTCCAGGTGATTTGTGTACAACATCTTAAATGCACTACTGTGGCTTCTCTTCTGAAACATGACCATGTCTGTTGCTGGACACGGAGCCGGTATCCTGCCTGGTGTGAACAAGGGTAACGTAGCAGGGTGGCTATGTGGAGCAGCAGTGGTAGCATGTGGATAATGGAGAGGGCCACCAGAGGTGCCACGCATTCCCACTGTATTGCCACCTGTTTATTTCATTGCAGGAGAAGCTCAAGTACTTCCCAGTGTGTGTGAGCACAAAAGTTCATCAGGAGGATGATGCAGAAGAAGGTCTTGGCAGCCTCCCCAGGAACATCAGCTCCCTTAGCTCCCTGCTGCTGTTCAACACCACCGAGAACCTGTGAGTGTTGGAGCAGCACCAAGCAGCTCTGCTGCCACCGCCTGGCCTCTGATCTGCTGCCTCCCCACCCCGGCCTGCCACCTTATCTGGGGAGATGCTCTTGCTCTGGGGGGCTGGTGGGTTGATTCCCCTGAATAGCAGCCTCCACCCAACATCCGTTCTTCCTCACCCCATTCTGAGTCAGAGCTGTTTGTCACTGTCAACTTCTGACCCAGCATGTGCCCCTGGACACCTCTCCTCTCCCCCATCATTACTTGCCCAGCGCCTGAATATTTTCTCTGTTGTTCTCTGTCCTTCTCTCTGTCTCGTTTGCTTATCCAGCTACTGCCACATCTCCCTCCACCTCTTTGCCTAAACTTGAGTGGTCACTTCATTCCCACTACTTCAACTTCCTCCCTGACTGATTCAGTCCCTTGCAGTCCTTGTTTCTCCTGTTCTCCTTGAGTGGAACAGTGCTTGCCAAGGATGTCTTCTCCTGGTCAAATCTAAGGATGCCCCCATGGTGCTTATCCTCCTTGATCTTCATCTGCTTTGGACAGTATTTCCCTCGCTGCTCCTGGGGCTCTCGATGTTCTCCTTTCTGACTTTCTTCCTCCCTCTCAAACAGTGTGTCCAGCAGAGATTGGCGTGCTAGGCATGCCCTGCTCTAGACAGTGGTGTAACTGCTGTCCCCATAACATGGTGTGTGGTGGGCAAGGGGAGAGAAGCTTGGTGGAATCCAGATGGTAGTGACAGGTGTTCAGGTTCGCCCTGCACTAGCCTGCAGAGTGTGAGGTCAGGATGGGGAAATCCCAGCTCCTGGCTGTGGCGGTGAAGAAGGGAGAGGGGCAAACCTGTGGGCGAGGTGGGATAGAACACAGGAGCGATGTAGCTGAGTGGAGGCAGTATTGACTGGGACTGGGATTAGATTTGGGACATCAGGAGTCTGTTTTGTCACCCCTTAACGCCTGGTCTCATCCTCTGGCTGAAGAACCTTTCCCTGGCTCTTCCCTGAGCTAGAATCACTGAGGTTTTCTCCATCCCCAGGTACAAGAAGTATGTCTTCCTGGATCCTCTGGCAGGAGCGGTGACCAAGACCCATGTGACTCTGGGAACAGAGACTGAGGAGAAGCTCTTTGATGCACCCCTTTCTATCACCAAAAGGGGGCAGCTGGATCGGCAGGTGAGATGCAGCAGCGGGTGGGGCTGTACATGCTGAGCGAAGGGACACCATGCTGCAGAAAGCACCATGCTTATCTTCTAGAGGAGAGCTGGGTTTTCTAGATGCAGGAGTTGGTGGGGGAATGGCCCAGAGGCAGGGGTAAGAGTAAGTTAAAGGATTTACCGGTACGCCAGAGTCCTGGGCAGGGGCGTGGCCTCAACCGGAAGAGGCGGGGCCTTTAAATCAAGATTTATAGGCCCCGGAGCTCTGGCTGCAGCTGGGAACCCTGGGGCCTTTAAATCACCCCTGGAGCTACCAGCTGCAGAGGCGACTGGGAGCCCTGGGGCTCCGGTGGGGATTTAAAGGGCCAGGGGCTCCGGCTGCTGCAGGGAACCCATGGCCCTTTAAATCGCCAGCCTGGGGAAGCCGGTCGGGTCCGGCATGGCGTACCGGCTCTTGCCGGCTTACTTTCACTTCTGCCCAGAGAGGAGATCTTGGGTGATGGGCAGTGGGGCATTTCACCTGCCTTAGTAACCTCATTAGGGTTTGTGTGTATAGTCCTTGGTGGATGCAATGAGACTTCTACACCTGAGGGCATGGGTGCCAGGTTTGTAGAATTTTTGGTGACGCCCAGAGTGGGTCCAAGTGGAGCCATCCCATCCATCAGACGGACCGGGGAAACCGCCACAGGCCCCGCGCTTTGGGGGGCCCTGCGCTTCAGAGAGATGTGGAGTCCAGGTGGCCTTGGAGGTTAGTGGGGGCAGTGGCACCAGCAGCAGTGAGCGACCCGGCCCCCACTCCGCTCCGCCCTGCTGGCTCCCAGCGTCACCTGGGGAAGGGGGCGGAAGCTGGAAAGAAGCAGGGTGGGGGCTTGGGGGAAAGGGTGGAATGGGGCCGGGGAGGCGACAGAGCAGGGATGGGAAGAGGCGGGGTGGGGATGGAGCTGGGCCAGGAAGAGGTGGGACGGGGACTTGGGGGAAGGGGTGAAGTGGGGGTGGGGCGGGGGCAGAGCAGGGGCGGGAAGAGGCAGAGCGGAGCGGGGAGGACTAGGGCTGGGTCACTCGCCGCGGCCAGCGCCAGGCCCCCTGCTCGTCCCCCAGGCCGCCCTGGACCCCGTGTCCCCCTGAAGTGTGGGGCCCCCCCGAGTGTGGGGCCCAGGACGGTTGCCCCGGACCATCCTATGGATGGGATGGCTCTGAAAATATAAGCCCAAACATTGGTGGAGCTGGGCCCACTTTCCTGAATATTGGTGGAGCACAGGCACCACAGGCCCATATAACTCACCACCTCTGCCTGAGGGTTGTGTTTCTCCAGGCTCTATGTAGATTTGGCGGGTTGGGTAGTGACAGCGCTGATGTGGCCTCCTCTGGTGCAGGGCTGTCTCCCTCCGATATCACATCTCTCTCTCCTGCACTGGCCTGCTCAGAGCCTGAGCTGCAGAAGGGGTTTTTGGCAGGCAGGTGGAGAAATGGCGGTTTTATTTGAGCTGGAGAAAAGCAGCTGCTATTCTGAGTCCCTCTTTCTGGTCCCGAGAGGAAGGTGTTAGGAGGAGCAGTTTCCTCCACCCTCAGGTGGAAAGTGGCTGCAGTGCAATGCTTGGGAACTACCAAAGGAGCGCTAGGGTCTTAAAAAATTATTGGCCGTTCAAATACCCTGTGTTTCACCCCATTGGGAAAGCCTGACAGGACTGTTATCTCTTTAATATGAAGTGCCCGTGGCACAGCAGGAGACAGGGCTGATGGAAGGAGCAGCCTGTTAGCTGGAGGCGGGTGATCACAGTACTGGTGTGTTGTCAGGGATTTCAGATAATGCCCTCAGACTAATCTAGCTGAGTTCTTTATCCCCTCCCGTGTGGAGCAATCCCTTGAGCAGGACTGCGCTCAGCCCAAGTGTGGAGAAAAGTCCAGCCACGGAGAGCAGCCCACGCCAGCTGACAGTGCCCTGTGATGGTGGTGCTGAGCTGCTCTGGCCCCCGGTGTCAGTCAATGGGAGGGGAAAGAGGCAAGGAAGGGGGCTCTTCTGCCACTGCGAGGGTAGCAAGTCTGCATCCCTTTGCAAACGGGCTGGTGTTTGAATCTCTCTCTTCTGCATCTTAAGTAAAGGGAACCTGCCAAGGAAATAGTAAGAATTGTGTTGTGCCCTTTTTGAGGCCTGGAGGAGGCCAGGAAGCGTGTTAACTCTTTCCTGCTTGGGTTTTTCCCATCGAAGAAAAAGGAATGTAAAGTCCAGTCTTCCCTGGCAGCTTTGGAGGGTTTCTGGGAGGTTTATTGTGAGCTCTGGAGGCCATAATTGAAGAGATGGCAGTGTTAAATCTTCAACTCAAACTTCCCTTCTCTAAAATGCATGTTCGTCACTGGAGTTTGAGTGGAAGCAAAATAAACTAACAACACGGCTAAAGAAAACCCTTTCCCTGCTGAACAATTCAGCTTCACTGTTAGACCTTGCAATGCCATTGTTTCATCAGCTCGCCAGTTGTCCGTCATCATCTAACCTGAACAGGACCAGAATTTCTGATGGAAATAACCCTTTGAAGGAACACAAACACACACACACATGCAGACACCCCTCCAGAATGGAGCAAGGAAGGGCACAAACCCACTTTTTGCCCCTATGCAGGTTGCTTTTAGCGCACACATTCGACACTGGAGTAACACCAGGGATGCTGTTATCCCAGAGTGCAGACTGAGCTGATTAAATACTTGTGTAGTGTGTTGAGGATCTGCCAGGAAGAGTACATCTACACTGCAAAGAAAAACCCATGGCACTGAGTCTCAGAGGACTTGGGCTTGTGGGGTTTGGGCTGCAGCTAAAAATAGCCGTGTAGATGTTCAGGGCTCTGAAACCTGGTGATGCCCCCTTAGTGAGAGCCACCAGGAGAGCTGACTGCAGCCCAGATGCCACTGTCTGCAGGCTGCATCCCTTCCCTCTGTTACTGGCTTCTCTAAGGGAAAACAGTCTCCAGATGCCCAGCTGTTACCCTTTGTATTTCTGTCTTCCAGGTAGCTGAAAATTACTTTTACGTACCAGATCTGGGTCAGGTGCCTGAGATAGACGTGCCGTCCTACCTGCCAGACCTGCCTGGCATCGCTGCTGATCTCATGTACATCGCAGACCTGGGGCCTGGCATTGCACCCTCGGCACCCAGCAGCTCTATCCCAGAGCTACCCACCTTCAACACCGAATCCGTGGAGAACTTCAGGCCAGGTATTTCAACTCCCTTTGTCTGGGGCTCATCTAGGCGGTGGGGGGAAGGCCACTAGGACAAGGCGGAGATGGATAAACAGGGAAAGGAGTTGTGAGCAAATAAGTATTTGCAGATGCAGACTTGCCCAGTGGCAGGCCCCAGAGGCAGGGATTGTGACTTCTCCCCAGCACTGACTTCTGCGTAGACACTGGTGAGGACCTAGAAAAGTCCCTTGTTAGAGGCCCCAGCAGGATTAAAGCTGGAGGAGTCCTTGACTTTCCTGGCCAGCTTCATGTGTGTGGGCCAAATCTAGCGCCTTTCCCCGCACAGACAACGAGTGTGGCCCTGGCCTTTTGCTGCACAGCCTGTGGCACAAAATGTCAGCCCCTCCCTCCTGCCCGGCTGGGAAGGAGCGGAGCTTGCAAGCACTTGTATTTTGCTGGCAGCCGGTCAGCCGTGTTGTTGTGATGAGAAACTGCTAGTTTGTGCCACCCTGACTACACACGGCAAATGGGGGAAGAGCCCCCTGATGCCATGGGCTGGCTCTGGGGCCCTGCTCCCTGTCCCCCTCTATAACAGCAGGAGTAATGCTGCCCATTTCATCCGCACAAAGTGCTGAGGATTGTTAGTGGTGGTACTGTTGTGGGTGAGGGCTCTGAGCATCCGCGCTTGCTGGCGGGGGGGAGATAGTGTCTTAGCAGGTAATGTCCCTTGGTGACTCTTCACACTCCTCCCTTTAACATTTCAGGTCTTCAAGATGGTGTGCTAGTGCCCCCACCTCCGCCTCCTCCACCCCCTGTGATGCCAACTAGTGCTCCCCCACCCCCTCCTCTGCCCCAGCCTGCCTCCCTTTCCAAACAGCCAGCAAGCGAGGAGAGCAGCAGTGCAATGTCTGCAGGTAAGGACTGAGCTTTTGCTATGGCTTGTTAGTTGGCAGGATCTAACCTAGCAACTTGGCCCCGCCCTTTTCCCTGGGCCAGCTTTTCCAATGGTAATCCCAAGGCTTGGGCCAGCTTTTCCAGTGGCTCTTCTCTCCTTACAAGCAACGATGAAAATTCAGTGGAGTTCTGGCTGCTTCCTCCCCTGGTGCCGAATCCTTCAACTCTTCAATCTGCAAACGGGACTGTCGCTGTGGCCCATTGACTTGAACAAACAGCCCCAGGAGAGCAGGCTGAGTAGACCTTGGTACCCACGCGTAGGCTGCAGAGAGACTAGATCTAATAGTGCAGTGGTTCTCAACCAGAGATCTGGGGCCCACTGCGGGGCAGCGCACAGGTTTCAGAGGGTCCCCCAAGCAGGGCCAGCACGCTGAAGGCTGATCAACTTAGCTTCACAGGGTCCCCTGTGGAGTGGGGCCCCAGGCAACTGCCCTGCTTGCTACGCCCTAATGCTGGCCCTGGCTTTTATATGCAGAAAAACAGTTTTTGTGGCACAGGTGGGCCATGGAACTTTTATCTGCATCTCTCTCCCCAAAGGCAATGGAAGCAAGATTAATCTGTTTTTCTGTTCTGGAGAGTATTGGTTTATTAGGGAATCTCCCATGAAAGTTCTTACGCACTAGCAAGATGCAGCTATGCTTTGGGTGCAAATACTTTCTACTCCTGCTCACTTAATTTAATAGAATTGAATAGCTTAAAATCTTCATGGACCTTTCTATTGGCTTTAGTTTGATACAAACATTTGTCACAAGAACCCTATCCCTTACAGTGCCCCTTTGACAAGGTCCGGGCTATTTTCTCTTGGTCCCACAAGGAAGTGAATTTCTTAAAACAGGAGCAATGCAAAAAAGCTGCCTCCAAACCCAGGGAAGCAGCAGTGTTTCTGCTTTCAGGCTATGAAATGGTTGAATTAGTTTGGGGTTACATTGCTCCTTCCTCTGGAGCATTTCGTACTGGCCACTGCTGGAGATGGGGGCCCCAGATTAGACGGATTGCTCGGATCCATTCTGGCAATCCCTGTGTTGCTAACTGGGCAGGGCAGGTCTTCCTATAGAGGCAGTGGGTGCTGTTCCCCTGTAGGGCAGAGGGCTCTCTGGAGAACGGTGTGAGATGGTCAGTTTGGGATCAAGGGACAGAATATGAGGGTGCGGGGAAGGATTCTAGCTCAAAGCCCTTCATCTGGCAGCACCCTGCACAGCTCACAGTATTCACTGATTTCTTTTAAAGGCTCCCCTGCAGTCTATGCACTGCGTCATCTCCCAGCGACTTGGAATGGGCAAGTGATGAGGTGCCAGAGCTCTTCAGTCTCTCAGGTTTCACACCCAGGCAGGTGGTTTAGGGTTTAGGTTTAGCTAAAGCAGCAGCACGTAGAGTGCCTGCTGTTAATTTTTAATTGCTGACACATCAGATGGTGTCGGTTCCTCTGGGCTGACTCCTTTCTGTATCCCTGCAGCTCCAGTCCAAGGGGCTCCAAAGGAAGTTGTGAATCCTTCAACTGGCCGGGCCACTCTCCTGGAGTCCATCCGCCAGGCTGGCGGCATTGGGAAGGCCAACCTCCGAAGCGTTAAGGAGAGAAAGCTGGAGAAGAAGAAGCAGAAGGAGCAAGAACAAGGTGCCCAGAGCGCTCCCATCAGTAGTCATCCTCACTCCCCCGCCCCAGCTAGATATGCCTAGGTACCCATGTGAAGGAGTCCCATAAATACCTGAGAGGCAAAGCCCACACTGCACAGAAGCCCTGGAGCAGAGGGATTTTATCTCACCTCACGTTACAGTTTGGAATGTTTGGCTGAACTCACTAGCCCCTAGGTGCCAGAAATGCATTAACGCTCTGCATTGGGGAATTCTCCCCTCTCGAGAGTGGAGATGAAAATGTTTCATGTGAACTTGTATTGCTGGAAGCATTTCAAAGATAGCTCAGGGCAGGCTGCCTCTGGAGAGGAAATTCTGCCATTGGAAGTCCTGGGTCACGGTTGGGCTGTTTTTAGTAGACTGGTTAACTCCAGTTCACTTAAACTGGCTGAAACACCCGATCTTTTAATTCCTCCGAGCTGCTGTAGGAAGCTGACACATTTCCCAGGCAGGCCTTGGGTGCTGTGATCTGAAGTCCATAAGGGGGAAGGGTAAATGTGGTACAAGGATGGGAGGGGTCAATTTATTTATTTAATTTCCAAGTGAGGGTCCCAACACAATCTCTGCCAAGGCAGCTCCGTCCGAACCTTCAGCATATCCTGCTAGTCAACCCTGCACTCCCAGGCAGTTCTGCCAATACAGCACCAATGTACCCTGCAGGGTCAGTGTGTCACGTCGAATAGTGTGGGACATACAACAGGAGGACTGGGTGTCCTGACCACATGTTGAAGCTGGTCCCCAGTTAATAACTAGCCCTTAGTACGAGTCTGGACCTTGTGAGCAAGACATTTGGTCTGTCACCTGATTTGTGGGGCTTTACTCTTTCAGTGATAACCACAGCACAGGGTGGAGACTTGATGTCCGACCTCTTCAACAAGCTGCTCCTGAGGCGCAAAGGTACCGTGCCGTGGGGGGCTGCTCCTTTCCTGTAATGTGACATGAAGAGGGGCAGGTTCCCTTGCCTCACTGCTGCAGCTTGCAGGAGTTAGAAAGAAGGAAGCTTTTGGCCAGCCTGGCATGCCATTTGGCTGAATGCTTTGATCCTGCTGGGGAGGCACACAATGCCCTTATGGACCAGGCAAGGCAAGCCCCTTGCAGAGCAGGAAGAACTTACTTGTATACCAATGCTGCCGACGGCGGAGTGTCACTGCAGTGAATCCAGACAGGAGGTGCTGCTGTAGTGGGGAGGGGCTTAGCTGGCTTCAGTGCCCAAGCTTTACCTGGCATCCCCAAGGCAGAAACCTGGGCACTGGCTGAGGTAGAGTGAATTGTATGTTTTTAATACTCCAAGAGAAAGCTCCCCTGTCCCTGCGCTGCAGGGGGGCGCGTCTCACTGCACACGCTGGGCAAAGGCTCAGCATATCCAGAGAGCCTCAGAGGGGGGAAGCATTTTGCATATGCCTATTCTCTAAGGGCTGGGGCCTGCCCCCTGCTGTCGAGGCTTCTTAGCCATAACCTAATGACAAGGCCCTCTGTAGGTACCAGGCAGACACCTCCGCCCCTCCCCTGCTTCAGCCGGGGGCTGCCTCCTCCCCTGCTCACAGAATCAGAGCCGGTTCTGGTCCCTGCCCTCCATTGTTCTGCCAGCTGGAAATGCTGACTTGGTGCTTTAGCTAATGAACCCTTTCCCAGCAGCAGCGGAGGTGAGATTGTGTGTGCCTGAGTCACTCAGCTGATGAGGCAGGATTTTGCACAGGTGCAGGGCTAGCTGCTGCCTTCCTCATCCTCGCTCATTTCAACTCACCTCTCAATTCTAGTTCCTAGGCCTCACTCACTCATCTGCTTTTTCTCCCGCAGGCATTTCAGGCAAGGGGCCTGCAGCTGCAGGAAGTGCTGATGCTCCCAGTCCACCTGCTGGTGCCTTTGCCCGCATGTCGGACTCAATCCCACCTCTGCCAGCCCCACAACAGCCCCCGGGGGACGAGGAGGAAGATGACTGGGAATCATAAATGCTATCATGCCGCAGGCTTGGGATTGGTTTCCTCTTGGCTAACTGGCAATCCGGCCCGGCTGAGCTAAGCACCTCAGAAATGGACCAGCTTTTGGAAATAACTGCTGGTGAGAGGGCACAGGCCTGGCAGAGGGACCCCGTCACTTTCTCTTAGCTCCTGCTCGTCTCTAACCACTGTTGAGTATAGTTATCAATGAACATTACTTCTGCTCTGTTTACTTCCCCTCCCCCACAAATAGTGCATTTAATTTCAAATGCTGCTGCTCCTGCTCACTCAATAAATCCTGCTGTAGCTGGAGGGCAGCTCATGCTCACGGAAGATCAGAACTAGCATCTCTACTGAGTGTGATGAAGCACAACTGCACGGGCAGCTCTAACAGCCTTCTCCTCAGCCAGCTGCGTGCTGGGCCTGGCTTGTTTGGGTGCGCCGGTGCAGGAATTCTTGAAATGGTTGATAGGATAGAAGGTGGTTGGTCCAGTGCTGCCTCATAGCCTCCCTCATGTGAAAACAGCTATGGAAACTCTGTTGTTGGGTATGAATGGCTTCTACAGCAGCTGTAGTGTTCCTTTAAGTTACAAGTACCCAGCAGCCTTCTCTGGCCCACTCCAGTCTACAAGTGGAGTGCTCTTAATTAACAGATTCTAGGAGGAGAGGCCCAGCTGCCCACCATTAGTCTCTCTGGTGGAGCTAGGGAACAGCAGGCATTTTGCAGAGGGGTACTGTGTGTGTGACAAACATAAGGCAGAAGCCCTAAAACTGCTGTACACTGAGGTGCAGTACACACTTTGAGAGTCTCTACCTACAACTTCTACTCTGTCAAAGAGGTGATGGGCAGAGGAGTAAATAAATAAATTAATGGAGATATCCTATCTCCTAGAACTGGAAGGGACCTTGAAAGGTCATTGAGTCCAGCCCCCTGCCTTCACTAGCAGGACCAAGTACTGATTTTGCCCCAGATCCCTAGGTGGCCCCCTCAAGGATTGAACTCACAAGCCTGGGTTTAGCAGGCCAATGCTCAAACCACTGAGCTATCCCTGCCACCCCCCCAAGGTCCACTTTGAGTAGAACTATGCAACTACAGTACAGTCTAGTCATAGTTTGCTTAAGTGGGACAAGTGTCTAACAAGATGATGTTTTATCACTGTAGGTGGAAAGTAGATGTCCTTGAGCTCCTACGTATAGTGTTTGTGTACACAGTTTAAGTCAGAGCTCTGTTTAGATGTGCTAGACTCTGCAGGGACTGGTACAATTCAGGTGCAGCAGAATAGAGATTTTATCCAGGTATGTGTAGAAGCGCACAGGAACAGTTGTTAGCCAATGCCTAGAGCACATCAGTTAATGGCTTTCTTGAATTACTAGGTGGCAACTGATAACTAGGGGGTTCCTGGCAGCAGCCCACTACACTGCAAAGCTGAAATATCCAAAAGCCAGGAATGAATGTGGCCCACCCCCTTTACAAGAAAGGGAAAGGGTTTTTTTTAAAGGGATTTACAATAAACTATGCTGAGGGAGGGCTAACCATGAGCCCCAGGAAAAGGCAGCAGTAAAGCTGAACATCTGCAGACAGGTATATAATCAAAAGGAAATGAAATAAATGCTGCACTGCTTTATGGCTAGGTTAGTAAAGTGGAGTAATAGACACAGGCCTTGGGCTGTGCGGTAGCTTAACATTCTTGGTCCACATTAGCAGAAAGGCCAGGTGGGAGGTGAATGGCAGTAGCCTCACATGGAGAATGCTTACACAGCATTGATGAGGAAATAAAGGCCTGCTGTGTGTGTGGGGGTAAATACACACACAAGCCACCCAGCTGTCATAGACTCAGCCCCCAACAATTGAAGCCCCGTGTGGGGTGCTACAGATTCATGCTGTCACAGCACTTTTGCCATGGCAGAAAAAAAGCCTCCTAAGTTCCCTAAATAGTCTTGCTGTCTGCAAGGGGTAAGCAAGTCAGGCCCATACCTCCAGCTAGCAGTACTGCCACCCCCCCCAGCCATTGTCTAGTGAGGGCTCTGGTAAAGCACAGATTAACACCACAATGCCAGTGGTCAGAGATGTAACTTCAGGCAGGGCAAAGCTAAGAGTTGAAAATGCCTCAGAAGTTGAGATGGCCCAAGGTATTCACCCTTACTGAATTAACTGATCTATGGAGCAGGTATGTGGCCACTGGAGCAGGGGCTCGAAATCTAGTTTCTAGATTCCAGAGAGCTTTGTTGTTGTACTGCTCCCATGGAGGCTGCCAGAAGCTCTAGTCCCCCACCCCATACTGGAAAGAAAAAGCAGCAGCAGCCCTACAACATTAGCCTGATTTTTAATACTTTACTTCATCCTGCCCCAAGAGGGCAAGTAGTAATACCCAAGGCTGGGGAACAGAGCAAAGGGGAGGAGTAACACAAACCCAGTCCATGTGGGGTTCAGATGCACCAGCTGAGGGTGCTCTTATCTTCCCTCTCCCCCCAAGCCACTGTCCAGCCCAGCTCAGATGCAATATAATCAGTCACGGTACAGAAGCCACATAGGCAAGAATAGCTTTGGTCAATAATTTTCAACTGCAAAGTCTTGGGGGGAAAAAACTTCTGTTGCAGGGACAGCAATTGCAGGAGGCTCCAGTTTGAGCTGATACAGCCACTCAGCACCCCTGTACCCATTCATCAGCACACTGCTCTTCCATCTCCCTCAGGAAGCTTCTGACCCATAACATGACTTCTTCTCATGGTGAAACTAGGAAGAGAGGAGATCACATGGCATTGTTCATTCCTAGCCCCAGCACTCTAGTATCCAGAGGGGTCAGGCCTGTGAGCAGGGGGAAGAGGGCATGGAGGTATTGCTGGGGAGCAGGTACAGGACATACACAGGGTGGAGCTGATGGGTGCATAAGGGGAAGTAGGACATAGCAAATGCTCAGAAGAGCTGGCTACTGGCCGGTGCATGAACTAATACTGACCTTCCTTAATGCTGCAAATGCTAGTCCAAAGGTAGGTTTGATCTCTGTTCTTTCCTTGATCCACTGGGGTAGTTTGTTGAAGACAGAGGGGCGTGCATACCTGTGATCTACAAGCAGGATGCTAGCAAAGTCCTTCTGATGGCGAATCGCTCGCCCTGCACAGATCACCATAAAGGGAAACCTCAGTTTTGTCACTTTGTATCCCCCTAGACCCTATTCTTCCATGCACAAGATTATCAGCAGATCCACTCTAGATACAGGCCTCCACCAGGCTGCTAGCCAATAGCTTGAACACACAATCAGGTAACTGTTGGATCTCCTACCACCTGAGTTGCATGTGCCAAGACAATTCTTCCCAATACCTTGTGTCTCATAAAAGAATCCTCTCCTTATGCTGCTCCCCACCAATCCCACTCTGCCACAATTGCTTCTTTGCCTATTCCATGACCCTAGCTACCGTAAACTGCTCTCCATACTCCGCCCATCCAGCCCCATGAAAGATGAAGTCTTACCTATTGACTGGTTTACTGCTTTCATGCATAGATTTTCAATCAGCATTTTGCTAGGTGGCTGGCCCGCAGTTCTTGGCTAGAGGAGAGAAATAAGACTCAGGCTCTGTGTACACAAAGCAGTTTTTAGCGACAGGGCTGTGTTGCTACAGCCGTGTCACTAAAAAGTGCGCAGTGTAGCCGCTGTTTGTCAGCCTTCCTGCCAACAAAAAACGTCCACCCCCCACAGAGTGGCATTAGCGTTGTCGGCAGGAGAGCGCTCCTGCTAACAAAGACCTGTTCACGCTGGCGCTTGTCGTCGGCAAAACTTTTGTCTCTCGGGAGGTGTGTGTGTTTTGTTTTGTTTTTTAACACCTCTGAAAGACAAAAGTTTTGTTGTTCACTTGCCAGTGTAGACAAAGCCTGAGTAAAAGGCATATGCAGTTCAAAGTAGGAATTAAAGCTCTTCAGTGCAGAAACCAGGCCCTGGAACGGTAGTGTATTCTTTACCCCTGCGGCTGCCTAGCTGGCCTAGGGAATGGTGCTGCCAGGCAGCCCCAGGTACTTGCAATAAAGAAGGGACCTCAAGGGCCACTACAAAGAGATGGGAGTTCAGTCACACACTAGAACCTGGGAAGTGCAGCTGAAGTGTGATCAGGCTCCTCAGAGAGGACATTCAAACTAACCAGCTCCAGGGCACCTGAAGGAGGAAGGTAGTTTCAATGCCAACCCCCAGGGCTTCAGAGCTGCATGGAACAGGGGCTGTGGCAGGCAATGAGCAGGATTCACTGTGTTAGGAAGAGGCGCATGACCCTGCAATGCAGTTCTCTGTGCAGTATTGCTCTGGCAGCCTCTCTTGGGAACTCAGCAGGGTCATTCCTGCAGATCTCTGCCCGGCTCTAGCCCTGTTGAGCCCATTTACTACCCCCAAAGCCACTCAAGCGCACAGTCAAGGAGATCTCTCTCCCCAGCGTGACTGACCCAGACACAGCAAACACGGGCGGAGGCACAGGAAGAGCCAGGTCTTTAGTTCGCAGAGGGAATTGGACCCGGAAAGGACAGTAAGTGAAGCAGCTGAAATAGGTGCTGGGGTGCTTACTCCTACCATTGTTTTGTCAAGATAGGCCATTTTCTCCTGGAGTTCTGGGGACTTGATGTTGGGGTAAGGAAGGCCCACCATGACGACACACCTGGAAATGGAAGGAGGGGAACACACAAGCATTGTTAGTGCCCCGTCATCCCAAACAAACTGATAGGGACACTATACTGCAGAGGGTTACCACTGCAACGCAGTCAACTCTGGCGTGGAAGCAACAACACTGCCCAGCCGTACGTGACAGGAATACTGAACTGAAAACTGCCAGGGGAATTCAGGGAGCCAGAGTGGGGATTTATCCCACCCAGCATTGTCCTGTGAAAAGCACTTCAGGCTATTTCATGACCACAGAGTGGTTGGGTGTTTGCTTTATGCTGTGTCTGAAAGGCACCTTCAGCTCACAGTGCTTCCTGACACCACGCCAGGCACACTGCTTTCAACCCTGACTCAATCACACCACCCCCACTTCCTGCACCCCTGAGGTTTACTTGCAGGTCTCCCACCCAAGTCCTGACCAGACTTCCCCCCACCCGGCCCAGCATAGCCTAGGAGACCCAGCAACAACATCAGCAGAGAGCTGTGTTCAGATACCATCTTAGGAGATGAGCAGCAAACCAGATATTTCTTACCTTCCCAGGTCATCAGAGAAATTGATT